TTGACTACGCTCTTCGAATTGTGCTGTTATTCTCACTAAAGATGAAGGCTTACGGAACAAAATAGTTTCTCATTTAACAATTACTACACACGTTGCCCTATGACAATGGTTAACAATCTCACAACACATCAGCAATATCCTTAGTCAACCTTGGGTTCCCTATCACCAGCTTCCTTGTCCCCTTCTGCTTTCTGGCCCTTGTCACTGGACTCCTGTACCTCGTTAGTCTCATTCGGTTTTACGGGGCTGTCCACTCCCCTGACACATACTTTCTTAATGAAAAAAACAAAAACAAATATCTATACTGTCATGAATTGTACATTCTAGTGAGGTCAGCCAGGCAAATAATATATGCAATAAATAAGAAAATTAGAAAACAAGTGCTTTGGAAAAAATACACAAAGCAAGATAAAGGTCCTACTTAAGGGCAGTTTGTAATTTTAAATAGTTTGGTTAGGGTCGGCCTAATTGGAAAGGTGACATTTGAGCAAAGACTTGAAAGAGGTCCTCACCTTGCATTCCTTGCTTAGCCTTGCATTTGAAGCAGGTGAAACAGCCAATCCGAAGGTACTAAGATGGGAGAATGCTTGACGTGTTATAAGGACAGCAAGGAGGTCACTCAGCCTGGAGCAGAAATGAGTTTAGGGCAGGTAGCAAGGATGAGGTCAGAGAGAGAATACGTGACCACGTTTTGGAGGGTCTTATAAGCCTTTAAGGAGCCCCGGTGCCATAGTGGTTAAGAGCTGGGCTGCTAACCAAAAGGTTGGCAGTTCGAGTCTACCAGCTGCTCCTTGGAAGCCCTATGGGGCAGTTTTACTCTGTCCTGTAGGTTCAGTATGAGTTGGAATTGACCCGATGGCAGCAGGTTTGGTTTGGGTGTTTTTGGTGGCACAGTGGTTAAGGGTTTGACTGCCAAACCAAAGGTCAGTGGTTTGAATGTACCAGCTGCTCCAAAGAAGAAAGATGGGGCAGTCTGCTTCTGTGAAGATTATAGCCTTGGAAACCCTATGCGACAGTTCTGTTCTATCCTATGCATATAATAAGTGAGTATAATAAATGTCAACTAATTGACTCAACAGGTATATATATTGGCTTCTCATCCTGGCTATTTCCTTAGAAAACTGTGTCAAAATTTTGATCAGTATCTTATGTTTATATATGTTGTCTCAAAATGTGCAGTGTTAACAAGTCTAAGAACAAACTTTGACATTTGACTAGACTGGTTAATCCAGATCTTTGATTGAAGGTGTTTTTTATATTTTGAACTTGATAGTATTGAGTAAAATACAAAATAAGAGACTGGTAAGTGATTATCTTTAGATCATTATTTTTACATACTTAGAAATTTGAATTAATCTGACATTGTGACACTAAATAATGATCTTTATCAAGAAGAGCAAAAATAAAGAATCAGCAGCATCAGGATACTAAAGTAGTGAATGATATTGTTATGCTAAAGCCCTTACCAATTATGAAATTGCAAGCTAAAAATGAGAATTTCCATAGTGTATCATTATTCAAAACAATTTCTGTTGGTAAAAGGGTAGTTTTAATTTTTAATCCAAATGGAAGAATATAAACATGGTGCATACCCTAAAGAATCCAGTAGATTTTAATGCTTTCATTTCATATCAAAAGTTTGTTGGCAGCCTCCACTGGACTGAGTCCAGTACAGCTAGATGGTGCCTGGCTACCACCACTGACTGCTCTGACCAGGATCACAACAGAGGGTTCTGGACAGAGCTGGAGAAGGAT